CTATGAGTTCTATTCACAATGCAATGGATAAGGTTACGAAATTAATACCCTATAACATAGGTAGAAAGGAAGACCAATTATAGAAAAGTTTTGATATCATTTGATGAGAATTGTGTGTTTCATCTCCACCGCTATTTTATGATGTTGGATATTTTCTTAACTAACATTATAATTGTTGGGTTCCAAGCTCTGGATGTGAAAAATAGAGGTTTGCGTTAAGTAATCGATAACCAACATGCAGTTTTTGTCGAAAAAGCCATGACATGAATCCTTTAAATTATTTTATAAATACTATGGCCTCCCCTGGAAGCGATACACTGTATGATTTGAATACAATGAAAGTGTACTATTGACGATACGCCTGCACTTGCGTGCTGTGTTAAATATACAAAGATCCCCACATTATGAACATATGCATGCAAAAAAGTTAGTCCATTAAATTAATACTAGGATAGAATATTGGAATATAGGTACTCTCACATGTAAATTAATAGAATAAGTTTATATTTTGGTTCATAGGAAGATAAATATCTTATGCATTCAAAAAAGTAAATGAATTGGAAAAAACGTTAAGGAGATTGATAGTTTATATTAGAATTTTTGTATTCAAGTAGGAGTCACACTAGAAATGATGTATATGTAATTATATATAATAGTTTGAAAGATAATGTTGTAAAATTTAATAGAATTAGAGATAGAATTATAATCTTAAATATTATTATTGATACTAAGATATTTAATGTTTTAAGTGTTTATGCTTCTCAAGTAGATTTAAATATAGGTTTAAAGAAAAACTTTGGAATAATCCAGAAAAAATTAATACAAATAATACCTCTTTAAGAAAGAAATTTTATTAGAGAAGATTTAAATGGACATGATGGTAAATTGATTGAGGATTTTAGAAATATTCATTGTACCTATGATTTTAGAGTAATAATGAATAATGTAGATTTAAATTAGATTTTGTTTTAACTTATGATTTTTTTATTGCTAATATTTTATTTAAGAAAAGAGATGAACATATTATTACATATAAGAATGAATCTAATAAAATATAAGTTAATTATTTTCTAATGAGAAAAAGAGATAGCCGAGAATGTAAAGATTGTAAGGTCATTTTAAATAAAAATATAAGCACTCAACATCGATTATTAGTTTTGAATTTTAAAACTAGGAGTTGGATGATAAAAATATAATGAAACATTGCAACAGAATTATATGAAAACATCTGAAAGGCAAATAAAATTCTTTTTTTGAGCAAGCTTCAAGATTTCAAGATTTGGAATGTTCTTGAAGCAACTAATTTTATGTAGGATAAAATAACAAACATTATTAATTAAGTGCAAAAGATATACTTGGAGAACGAAGAGTAAAATTTTTTATAAATAAAAATAGTTGGTGGTGAAATAATAATATGTAAGAAAAGTTAAAATATAAAAAGTTATGTTATAAAAATTGTTTTAAATGTAAAAACTTAGAGAATTGAAAAAAATATAAGGTCACCCGTAAGAAGTCTAGGAGAACAATTTTGAATGCTAAGAATTCTACTTTCACTGATCGTTATAATAATTTTGATACTAAAGAGGGTAAAAAATATATGTATAAAGTAGCTGAAAAATTTAAATTTAGTAAAGTGTATTAAAAATAAAAATAAAAAAAGTGCTTTTCTTAGATGAAGATATTCAATATAAGTGTGTTATACATTTTAATAAACTTTTCAATGAAGCTTTTGAAAATGCGATCGACTTTAGTGATCTTAATATCGTTAATAATAATAATTTTTTTTAGTTTTTACTGTCATATTAGTAAAAAGGAAGTTGGTGAGGTTATAAAGAAGACCAAAGATGAAAAATTAGGACTTGATGGTATCCTAGTAGAAGTGTGAAAATATTTATGCGATTTGAGATTTTTTTGGCTTACTAAATTTTTTAATATTATTCTAAAAACTAAAAAGATGCTTGAGAATTGTAGGAAGAGTGTTTGGTTTCTACTCTTAAGAATAAAGAGGATGCACAAGAATGTGGAAATTATAATAAATTGACTTAAAGTGTCATACATTAAAAATGTTAGAGTAATTAAACATAGATTACGACGTGATACAAAGATTTCTCATACTTAATTTAGATTTATGTCGGGCAAGTCTACTATGTAATTTATACAATTATTGAGAGATTTGATGGAGAAATAGAGAGTAAGGATAATCTACATATGATTTGTATTGGTTTTAAAAAATTATGATAAGTTTCCAAGAGAAGTACTTTGGAGAGCTTTAGAAAAGAAAGGCTTTGATATGATTTATATTCAAGTCAATAAAGATATGTATAGTAGAGCAGTTATTGGTGTTTGAACAGAGGGAGGGTTGACCAAGTATTTTTCTATTTCAGTTGGACTATACCAGGGATTGAATTTAAGCCCATATCTTTTTGCTTTAGTTATGGATGCTCTTACTGGACATTTACAGAAGGATGTATCTTGGCTTATACTTTTTTCGCTGATGATAACCTTTTTGTGAATAAGAATAGAGAAATAGTTTAGGAAAAACTTGAATTATGAAGGTCTACATTAGAGTTTAAAGGCCTTTTTTTCAGTAGATCTAAAATTGAATACATGAAATATAATTTTAGTAGTAGTAGATCTAGCGGTAGAGTTATAATAATGAGCTATCAAATCATTAAAAGGAGTGAATGTTTAGATATCTCTGGTCTATTGTTCAAAGTGATGGTGATATAAATGGGTTGTTATTAGTAGAATTCAAGTTGGTGATGGCATTATAGAGCTACAATGTTTTTTAATTAAAATTTTAGAATTTACATGCTCATCATCTAGATGAAAGCGCAGTTATAAGTTCACATAGAAAGGAGAAATCAGTTGAGGACTTTAAAAATAAATTCCTTGATGTACATCATGTTCAATAAGAGACTGGAAGATAGAAATCTGAAGAAAAAAAAGGTTTGAAGGATAACGAGGACTATATGAAGTTATGTTATCAGATGATGAGTGGTTTGTAGATAATATGTTAATGATATTACATCATTTGAGTATAACAAGATTTGAGTGTTTATTTCTTTGATGGAAATAGAAACAAGGCTAGTACATTAAACAGAAGACATTATGAAATTAAAAGAAAATGTATCCATAAAAATTTAATTACTTGAATTTATCTCAAGCTTTAATTATTATTCTTAATCTTTTATTGATTAGTACTGGTTAGAGAAGAGAAAGATGATTGTAATTGAAGAAGTGGAGGAAGAATGGGAGAATTTGAATTCAATTGAAGAAGAGCTAGGAGAAAAAGCTATTTATTGTGAGGATGAATTTAATGAAGACCATTTGAGTGATGAAAGTGTTCAGTGCTTGTGATTTTTCGGGGAAAAAGCTATTTATTGTGAATATATAATTTGTTATGCTAAACTGATCATATAACTTATTTTTCTTTGATATTTTGTTACTTTCATTTGATGTTTATATTATACTTTTTATTTTGTGTAATTTGTCACATGATATTTTGTGGTTTATGCAATTTGTTATTTGATGTAGCCACAATTCATCACTAGTTAATGCATCATGCATATATATATATATATATATATGTCATGTTTATAATATATTAATTTTTACCTTTTTTTTTTGTTTTTACGTAATTTTTTAACTGTAAGACCTATGTTGTAGAATGCCTCGAGACTTATGCGTCAACTTACAAATGAAAAGTGCCTTCGCACCTAATTGTGCAATTTTAAACCTTGACTGGGACGCTTATTTTTGATAATTCAAGTGTATAATCCATACTGAATCTAGTCATCTAGTCCTAAATTATTCCCTGGTGAAACAATGACTTCTCCTTTTTGTCTGAAGGAGTCTTGTTTCCTTGCCTTAAACTGATGTGATATCATCATTTATGAACCAAAGACGGCTTGAAAAGCCTTTTGTGCTTTGTTGGATGTGTCATATTTGACACACCTTCAATGTGGCTAGATGCATACAACATATTGAAAATCATGTTTGATAAATACTATATTTAGATTACAGTTTGTTACAGTTGAGACATTCCACGGCACCGTTGGGCATACCTTGTTATGGCAAAAGCATATGATAATGATAAAGTGTTTTTTCAAAGAAGCCAACCTTTAAAATTTTGTCTTTTTATTAATGATTGTGAATGTTTTATTGAAGAGGACAATAGTGGTAGTGTTGATGATCATGATGATGAGTGCCTTGGGCCAATTAATGAAGTGTCAAAGATTCCATATTTTTATGCTTATTTAAAAATCCCATTTTTTCCATGGTGTAGATAATATAAATTTGATTTTGACAGAATTATTTTGAATTATCAATGTTAATGTTGGCATGCTATTAACAATTAATTATTTAATAAAATACTAAAATATAATTATTATTAAATCTTTGTTATACTATTGATATTTTGTGTTATGTCTCCCAATATTCATGTTATTTTGTGTTCCTGTCTAGTTTCATTGCTTGTCTTCCATATATATCTAGTTTCATTTCCCGTCTTTCATAGATCCATTTTATGAATTTTCCCTTTGCTCCAAGTAATTAAAGTTTTTTTAATCCATTATTTTATGTCGTAATGGCTATACATTAAATTTCGACCATTTGATGACCCAGTTAGGAGCGTAGATGTTCTAGATTCAACTTATGTTAAGAAAGGTATAGGTAGACATAAAAAGTCTAGGGGTAGATTCAACTTATGTTAAGAAAGGTAGAGGTAGACATAAAAAGTCTAGGGGATGTTGTGTAAAAAATCATATTAATTTATTAGAATTGAATGAAAATATGACACTCAATAGGACACAATAAAAAAAAAATGACTCATGTAGCTGACCCCACTTAGTGGGATAAAGACTTGTTGTTGTTGTATAATTTATATACAAAAGAAGCTGTGAGGATTAATACAAATTCCTTTTTAAGTATTGATCTACCTGCCATGATAATTTACCACATATCGATCAATGAATTTATTGAACTTATTTTTAATGCAGGCATCAAATCTTATATATGTTGATCAGCCTACCGGAACTGGATTTAGCTACAGTTCAGACAAACGTGATATTCACCACGATGAAGCTGGTGTTAGTGGTGATTTGTATGATTTCTTACAGGTATGTGCTGTTAATGGTAAAATGTTGTTATCATGTTCTTTTATCATTGAGCTCATACTGCAATAACTGAAATTTTTGGTAACTACATGTCATGGATATGCAACCAACGACTTTGTCAAACTCCCTTTCGTTTGCATCGTCTCTCACACCAACTCCCCTTAGTTTAGCATGCTGATCTCCCTCCATTCTTTGTTTCCTTAAATAGAACGGAACCTACACTAGCCAGTTCCCATTTTATGTTTTTAAACTTATGGGATGTTGCAATCTGATTACTAATAAGTATTTTTCAGTTAAGTTGGGTTGCCTATCTTCTTTGACTAAGTTGATTACAATTTATGACAATTTAGAATAACGTACTGTGAGATCTTGATTTGGTTCATCATCGTGTTCTCAACCATTTACTTTAAACTAAAGGTGCTAATTTTTCATTTTAAATTAAAAAATTATCGCCATCATATACTATACTATTCAGTGCTTTCCAACTAGTCTTGTTTGAAAGTTCCTCTAATCACCAAAAGCTGTAATTAATCATACGAGCTTGCACTTGGGGAAAAATGTAACTAGATTATAAAATCCTTGTAAAAATATGAGTTAAATCAATGAGAAATTTCTCATCTAAAATCATTTATTTTTTCTGAAAATTTGACTTGGAACCGTACTCTCTGACTAGAGCTAGGTATGCATTTTTGTAGCCAACAATTATGCTCAATAGGATTCATTCTATAATGCTATAAGCTATTTAGTGATCTACGAATCAAATCAACGACTTATGACTATTCCTATGTGGTTGCAATTCATCAAGTAATTTATGAGGGCATAATTCCTAAATTTTAGATAGTAATTTACTAACATTTTCATGTATTGATATAGCAATTAAGGAATAATTATGGCTTAAGCTGTGCTCTTCTTCTCAAAACATGTTGGCTCAGGATATGAAAATAGTTTCTTAGTGCATTATGAGCACTTGATTCTTTTGATGCAAATGACTCTTATATTTGGTAGGTTTAAGAATGTGAACTTAAATGTAGACATATTAACTTCTGAAAATGTTATACCTAGTGCATACAATCATATTTGGCCTAGAATAATTTGTACAAAATTCATAAGAATGCATTGCATTAGCTCTTATAGCCATAAATAACAAGATGAATGGGCACCAGACGTGTTCAAGTTAAAAAAAAAAAATCAATATGATCAATTTAGAACTTGATATAGAATTCATTATGATATACATGTATGCATACTATAAATCTAAATCTATGTCTATTAAATATTTTTAATAATTTGAAAAGGTTATAATATAGTTTATAATAATTAATAATATAATAAGATTGTAATTTTTAATATAAATTTATTTTTCTATATTATAAACTTTTTTTTAATTTTAAAATATATTTAATATAGATCTATTTTATTTTCAGTTATAAATTATATCTTAACAAGTTTATTAAATATGTTTTAGAATTTTTAGTGAGCATATAATTTATAATAAAAATATAGTTTATAGTAATTATTAAGAATATGAAGTTTATTTTATAAAACAAAATTAAAATTAAAAGGTTGTTACTATGTTTTCTTGCCATAGTCTATTTAATAATGTGAAAGCCCAACTTACAGAACACAAAATTTCTTTTTCCAGCTCAATTCATATTTGAACATACTCAAAGCTTCTTTAGTTTCAAATCATAAATGATTCTTAACATTCTACTATTTATATAGGTGAAGAGAGCTTGATAGCATGAGCAATGGACATGTTAAGGATGAGCTTAACTACGCTCATAATGATTCAAAAGGCTTTTGAATGTATGGCTATAAGTTTAAATAATTAAAAAAAAAAAATTATACCACTGGATTGAAAAAAAAGATTAAAAATTTTGTTTGAACTGGCCGGTTTTATATAAAGGTTGAACTGGCAGTTCAAGTGGGTTTTTGCTGGTTTAAATGAGAGAACATGTTTAAAGGTAAATTGGACCTACCATATGCTCTGTCGTTGTGAAACCAATTGAATCGGCCAATCCGATTTGATTTTTAAAACCTGGTAATTGGCTAAACATTCTTGTCAGTGTTACTATCAATGATGAGATTTTAAAGTTTTTTATCATACTTAAAATACATCCTAAAGAGTGAAGCCCTTTTCCAATTTGGTCGACTTTATGTGTGGAAATAATACATCACATGACATCTAAGATGTTCTTATTGTAATCATACTCAGCATCACTTGTTACGTCATTGAATTTATGCACATCTTCCTCTCTGTCATCCTTATAATTTTCATAAATCAACGTGTAAGTATTTACTAGGACACTGACACTTAATGATTTGGTGGCATTTAAAAAAGTTTTACTAGAAATTTAATATTCTGATACAGTAACTGCCAATGTTTCTTTTGACTCTTTTTTGACGATAGTGTTACTAAATTTTGACAGTTTTTGAGTTTGATTAATTTGATGGATGGAGGAATTCCACATGCATGAATATATTCTTTTATGTGAAAGAAATTTTTTTGCGGTATTTACAATCCAATGCTAATAAAATGCATTGTGAAGGGACTAGATGTTACACAATTTCTATTTTGAGTTTAGGCCTTAAGCCAATTCTAAACCAAGTGCTATTTTAGGATTAGTGAGTTAAATTCATCAAGCATTAGATCCCAATAGGATAAGGCTATCCAACTCTTTTTTAACAATTTACATTTCAGCTTATGTTATGATTGGTTTTGACTATGTCTTTCTATCTTATTACACCTATTCAATACAATTTTGTTTGGCCAATGAGCTTAATTTTCTCAAATCTCTCTTGTCGCTCACCCAATATTCTGTCTTTCAAAGCCATAGCTTTTACTGGATCATTAAAAACTTTCTGATACGTTTTTTTTTTATCATAGATATGCACTTCAACTTCATGTTTTTTTTTATTAAATCTTGTCAATGCATAAAATTGTTGCCTATGATCAACATAGTTTTTATTGTGTATATTTTACGATGTTCATCTTGGTTGTTGCTTTCATATTGGGTTTCTGACATTCTAACAGTGTTGTCAATGAGTTACTCATTATGGCTTAATTATCCTTTTCTTGTGGAGTATTTGGTTAGTTTCTAACGTGTTAAGTAATTCATTTATTGCTTTACTTAGTTGTCATGGTTTACTAGTACCTCTTTTAGTTTTGTAAAATAGTTTAAACATCATTTTTATGGTGTTCTGTTATTTAGCCCTGATAATTTGTCCCTTTTTTTGAGTGACACGTTGACAACCTAGTCTCTGATACCCATTTGTGGTGGATTGCTAAGGATCTAGTATTTGCAAATGCGAGATGCACAATGAAAAGAAAAACTTGTAGGTTACTAACCATCAAATATTGCAAATATAAGTTTTTTTCAATGTAAAATAACAAGCACATTTTACACTATGAAAACAATTTCAACACGTACAAATCCCATCCGCTAAACAGTAAAAAGCAAAAATAATGATTGAAATCATCCAAAATGAAGATCTAGCTCTCATGATGGTATAAGTGGGCCAGCCTTGGAAGTAGTCATCAATAAGCATTTCAAGAGTATACATCCAACACATGCACACAAATGGAGAAAAAATGAAAACCTATCCAATACTAGATGCCCCTTTTTTTCTTACATGCTTCATTGTCGCGAGTATAGTCTACAAGCATCCCAAATAAGATATTTCTTATAATTCTTATAGACCTAATTATTAACAAGTTCCATTTCTCTCAATCTCATAAATATGTATAGATTTGCTCTTAAGTTTTAAAATTTTCAAATGAATTAATACACAAAAGAAAAAATAAGAGGCAGAGGCTTCCACTGCAGTAACAAGTGGCAAGAATTAGTTCGTGACTTTCGCTGAAATCATGGAGTATACAAGGAAATCACATTATAAGATCTGAGACTAAACTAAACCTTAGGAACTGACTTTTGGGAATTGAACGGATTTCCACAGAAGCTCCCAAAACCCTAACACATCGGCGACACTTAGGAAATTCCCTAATATAGCATTGGTGACTAAAAATTTTGGAACTGTCTCTTAATTAGCGCTTGCAGCTCTTCACAACGAGAAATGTGCAAGTATTGCATTAGCAATCCCCTGTGGCTTCCCTTGGACTGTAGCAGATGGCAGACGGCAGCCGTCAATAGAATTACAGAAGGTAAAACACGTAAGTATCAAAATAGTCTTCTGATTATTTACATGAGGCCATTTTAGTCCTAGAGTCTGTAAAAGTACGAAATTAGTTCTCAGACACTTTTAATATGGACTAAAATAGCCCCCAGGGAGGACTATTTTAGCCTCCTCTTAAAAGAATCTGGTGACTAAATTGACACTTTTATAGATTCTGGGATTAAAATTATCCCTGGCAACAATTTTGACACTTGAAGTCTATAGGAAAAAATAAAAAAAAAGAAAAAAAAAAACTGCAGGGGAGAATTTTGCATGCAGTGAAATCCTGTTGAATAGGATCTCTTGAAAGGAAATCTGAACTGGTTATAATAATAATTGAATTTGGACCATGCGCTAATGTAACTTGGAAAGAATGCAATGTAAAATAAAATACAATGCAATTTAAAGTTCACTTTTATACCTTCAAATTTCCGTTACATCAATCATTCACGTGCCTTATTAAATTTTCAGAGTAGAGAAAATGTAGATTTTTTGTTATATTGACTGTAAGGCAGACTTTAATGGTGAATGAGAACCTAGTGTTCTGTCGATAAAGCTACCTCCCATATTTGAATACGTTCGTGTATCTTTTCTGGATAAGGGATTGTTTGTTAGGGAGAAATAAGGTTTCCCATAGCAGTTTGGTTTCGTGATTTTTATATTTCTGTTTCCACAGAAATTTGGAGCAGGGAGGTTTGTACGCTATAATTACCAAGAGAAAAAAATTCAAGAAATTGTAATCATTTATTGAACTGGAAAAATTTTCACGATTAAATAATAATTTCTTTTCTGCTATATCTAACATTGTACAATAAATCTGCCCTACTTACTCAATTTTCTTTTATTCGCCAGGCCTTTTTCTCGCATCACCCAGAGTATGTGGATAACGATTTTTATATCACGGGAGAATCTTATGCTGGGCACCTGCTTTTGCAAGCCGTGTTCACCAGGGAAACAAAGCTAAAGAGGGCATCCACATCAATTTGAAGGTGCAACTTTGTCTCACCTTCCTGAACAACATGTTAGTTGATTATTTGCCTGGGCTGTGTTACGCAGGGATTTGCCATTGGTAATGGACTCACTGATCCTGCTATCCAGTACAAAGCCTATCCGGACTATGCATTGCAAATGGGAATAATAGATGAATCAGACTATAAAAGTCTCAATAAAATAGTTCCAGTTTGTGAGGTGGCCATTAAGCTTTGCGGTAGTGTTGCTGACCTTCCTCATAGAAGCATTCATTTCTTGTCAGTTCATTCTCCTTTCTTTTACATTAATGTTTTTGGATTAGTGATCATTTGTCCTGTCAATTCTCTCATCATTGTTGTATCATATTGCCCCCCATAAAACCTGCCCAAATCCTCACAAGGCCCCACCCCTACCCAAGTGGGAATTCAAATTTAAATTTAAAGCTCACCTATGTTCATCAAATTCACAGAAAACCTTTAAATCTATATTTTTTCAAGAAGATAATTCAAATAAATATGTATTTGTATATAAAATCATATATTTTTAATTCTGAGCTCATCTTGTAAAAGTTGGGCTCTGCCAAAATAATAAATCTCACTTGGGGATCTTTTTTTTTTCTAATGTTGTAGATTTTTTTTTTTTTTTTTTTGTGAAATCTTCTCTAAATTATTTATGATCGAGGCATTGCAAAACCTTAGCTTCCTTTTAGTTTACAATAATTCTTTATAAGCACATCTTTATAATTTTTAGATCCCTTAATTTTTTAAATAGTAACACATCTAGGGCTGCAAACGAACTAAACCGGGCCGAGCTTGAGCTTTCTCGAGCTGGAACTCGTCTGTCTGAACCTTGTTCAAGCTCGGCTCGAGCTCGATTTGAGTTTTTAGAATATTGTTTGAACTCGAGCTCGATTTAGAGAATGATGGTTGAGCTCGAGCTCGAGTTCGATTTGAGTTTGATTTTTTTAGTTTTCAACAAACTTATAAATGAGCTCTCCTTGGACTAGCCAGACGAGCCTTAATAGAACTATAAAGCTCATTTGGTTAAATGAGCTTTTTATCAGGCCTCTTTTAAAGCCTTAACAAATTTATAAACAAGCAGATTGTTGAGCTCCAAAATAATGAGCATTTATGTTTTAACTGACCAACTAGTAAATGAACAAATGAGCAATATCTTGGTGAGCGTTAACAAGTAGCATATGTTCGTAAACAAATAAAATTTTAAAAAAAACATAAAAGGGTAAATGCTATTTATATGCACTTGAATAATTGCAAAACTTGATCAAATGTACTCAAAACATGAAATCAATATCTATAAATGACCATTTAGCTATATACTAACACACATAAACAACTATAAAAAAGAAATATTTCACAACTAGAAAGTAAAAAAGCCTTGTGTTTTGAAATTCTATTATTCTACAACTCGATCTAGACTGCTTAATGGCATGCCCTCTATCCTTACTACGTGGTTGATTACTTGAATGGGAACTTTTCCTCCTACTGATAGTGAGTTGATATCAAAAATTTCTATGATGCAAGTATAGCTCACAAATTATGGCAATAGAAAACTAATAAAATTACCAATTACGAAGCTTAAAATTTTAAACAGTTTACACTTTCTTATACCTGAAATTAGTTGACGGGTTTTGCCCTGTCATCCCATTTGTTTCCCTGCTATGACATCAATCCATTGATTTCTGCAATTTGGGAAGCTTGTTGTCCCTAGAATAAAAGAGGGGCTATTAGTAATGAATAATACGTTTAGCTTTATTAGAATAAAACCAACACTAAAGTACAAAAATTAAAATCAGGTTACTTAGCTTTAGATCATTCCATTGATAGCTCCTAGTTTAAAGGGTGACATCCATATCCATCATAATGTTCCTAAGTGCACGGGCATGTACAAGTTATAAAAAGAACCAGAAAAAGAAAATGACTCAATCTCTAAGCTCCTTCTACATAACTAGGCATAATAAGCTAGTATCCCTAAAGATTAAGAGCATAGATAACATTCACATTCAAGTCAATCTACAGTAAACAGAAATAAGCCCCACCAAATAAGGAGAAGGTTTTATTTCACATCTTAAGTTTAATATTTATATTCATTAGCACTTTGGTGCTTTACACCTGTGCATGAAAAGGTGCATTTCACCTTTAAAAAGTTGTATTAGTTCTATTTTTTATGTGATATTAAAGATTTTTAGTGCCATGTGTGTAAATATTAAAGTTTTGATGTGAGGTATGTAAATACATAAGAATTCTTTGCTATGTATATAAATACCCCAAGAAAAATAGTGAGCTTAAATTCAAAATAACACTTAAAGAATAAAAATTGCTAAAGCTAATAACCTTAATAACTGAATAGTAATGATAATAATAATAATAATAATTAATATAAATAAATTAATAAGAGGAGATACACCCCCTCGTATGAAATTTATTTCTCGCTTTTTTCAACTCTTCCCCCTCATTTGAACTAGAGAACGCGAGTAAAGAGAGGCGGTGATGATGGAGAGGAGGAGATTAAGAGAAGTTCTATATCTCTCCTACCTATTTCGACGCTGAGCCCTAGTCGAACGAGAAGTTTGTGCACGTGGAAAAAAGTGGAGTGACTCGGCATTGTGCTTGTGCAGAGGAAGAGGAAGGAGGGGATGTCGTGCCCTAACAAGCGGATTTGTGCGTGGTGCTTGCTTGCAGAGATCGGAGGAAGGAGACTTTTATCTCGTGCTCGCGTGCAAAGGAAGAGAAGGAAGAAGGTGGAGGCGACGTCGATTGCTTGCTGCCTTGGGTAGAGCCACACGACCGATGGTGAGGATGGAAGGAGAGAGCTTGTGTGCCCGTAAGGGTAGGGCAGCCGAGTGTTTGTTATATAAATAAATATACATCTGTGTGTGTGTGTGAGAGAGAGAGAGAGAGAGAGAGAGTATTTGATGCAAGGTTTTATTAAATTAGGATCGAAGTTATTTAAATCTCGAAATGCTAGGGAGGAGTAACATGAATTTATTGCGAGAGGGGAAATGAAGAATTGGTGGTAGCCAAAAGAATATAAATGTATGTTAGGATTTTTAATAAATTATTTAATAAATCTTATCTGCGACACTGGGCGTTTTGGATTGAATGCGATGGTCAGTTTTTGGACCGGACGTGAGGCCTCCAGGCCGGCTGGGATCGGTTCAGAATAGTAGCATGAGCGATAGGCCGATCTTCATTACGGTGGATTACTGCCTCCTTGTGAGAGGGGGCCCACTCCTTAGTTACTCTAAGTCTATATATGTTGTTTTCATCGTGTTTTGGGTCAGTTTTTATTGTGTTTCTGTCAGGACAGCCGTCTTCCTCCCCAGTTTTGCCTTCTTCGTACATTTTGAGTAGCGGGAGCCAGCTCGATTTTATCTAAATCTTGCTTAATCCAGTTTGATTTGAGCTATGCCTAGCTTTAGCTGGACCTTTGATTTAATATATGCTCTATTTAAGAAAAAAACTAAATCAATTTTGAGTGATTATCAATTTTTGAGCCAAATTAACAACCTATATTTTTTAACACCATTGCAACTTGCCTCCATCACTGCCAAGCTTGTCCGCAGCACAAACACTTGCATTGGTTCCATTGTGCATGCATCATGTTGGGATTCCATTATGCTTCCTAGACAGGATCTGATCATGTTGACATGATGGATCAGGTACTTCTGGAAGAATTGCTTGCCTGGCTTCATATTTGGTTTGCAACGTAATTTTTAGTTCGATATTGAAGATTGCGGGGAATATCAATGTAAGTAGTTAATGTCTTATGGTTGCAGTTCTGGAATACTTTTACCAAGAAAACCAGCTGATGCAAGTTATTTGTTATCTCCTTTGAATTTGCACAGTATTACGACATCAGAAAGGAATGTAAGGGCAGCTTGTGTTATGATTTCTCAAACATGGAGAAATTCCTTGATCTAAAGCCAGTCAGAGAATCTCTTGGAGTTGGTGAAATAGAATTTGTTTCATGCAGCCCCACTGTATATGAGGCCATGCTAGCTGACTGGATGAAGAACTTGGAAATGGGCATCCCTGCTCTTCTTGAGGACGGCATCAATCTGCTTATTTATGCTGGGGAGTATGACCTCATATGCAACTGGCTTGGTGAGTCTTTTCTCACCCATTTCTATTTTATATTCCTTGGTTGTATAAAAGTTCTGCTGTGCGAATCATCTACTATTGAATAAACACACTTTATCATTCTGCGCTTTTATTTGATAATTGTAGATGCTTATTTCTACAAAATGGAATTTTTATTTGCCGGAGACGAAATTGTTGAAATTCTGCTTGAAGCATGTTAGCCATGAACTTATGTGCTTAGGTTGTAGCTTGAGCTTAAGCTTAGGATTTATGAATTTTTCTGTGCTCCTCCTTTCTTACTTATAAAGTTTATTTGCTGCTTCATTTGGGTTATTATTTTCATGTTGCTGCAATGCGACTTGTGCTTTATGGTTTGATTTTGTGATAATTATAACTTTTATATTTGAGTGGACTATGTTCGAATCGGCACTCTGCATAATATAAATTCTCCAAATTGGAATTTGCAATATTATATCTTGAAGGGAATAAATATATCTTTTAATTTACATAAAGTAGCTAGCTTCGAATTCAGTTTGGGAAATTCTGCACATAATGTTTAAGGATATGATAAATCTATGGTCTGATGGTATTCTATGAATTCATTTATTTTTAGTTTTGGTATGCTTTGGTGATCATTGTGAGGATTAAAGTCTCATGGCTGAATTTGGTAATGTTGTGCAGGAAACTCGAGATGGGTTCATGCCATGGAGTGGTCTGGTCAAGAAGCATTTGTCTCATCATCTGAGAAGTCATTTACTGTACATAGCAAGGAAGCTGGAGTGTTAAAGAATCATGGTCCTCTCACTTTTCTCAAGGTATGATCATATTTTAAATGCATATGATTTTATGTATTGCGCTCAAATCTTTTGTATTAGTTATTTATTACCCTTATTTATTAGCTTTTACAAAATGCCATCATGGGTGTTACTTTAAATGTAATGTAATATAAATTTAATAGAATATATTTTTAAATTCACTTGAATAACAGAATCACAACTTGTGTTGGATCCAATCGTATAGAATTTTTAAGACCAAGCCCAATCACAAGTACATTTGGTAGATTAACGAAGACCAACTTAAGTTTTTGCCAAAACAGTTCTTGATTTGGTGTGTTAAGATGGGTCAAGAGCCTCCTCAAGCCTCTTTTAGGGGGTACTAGGCTGAGGATTATTTAATTTATCTAAAATTAAATTTGATTATTGATTTATTAACGCATTAGAAGGAATTTAGTAACTATTTCGGGTGCTATATTACTTTAGCAACATCATATGTTTTGGGTGATGTATACATCTTAAGTTCCTATATGCTATTCTCTTATTTGCAAGCTCGGTGACCTCTAATATGTGAAGTCTTATAAAGAAGATAAATGAATCAAGCCAATATTTTTAGAAGTGTGCTTCACGAGAAAAGTAAAGCGCATGACGACCGCTTTGCTTCGCTGAAGCGCGCTTCGAAGGCCGAAGTTAATTTGTAGGTTTTTTTTGTAATTTTTAAGTTTTAATTGTCGTAACAAACTATTAGAAATTGCTTAAAATTTTAATGTGTAGGTTCATCCTCAACGTTTGCCTTCAAGTTTACTATTATACCACATCCTTTTTTATTTTATATCAACTTCTAATTTATATATTATACTTTTTAATTGTTAATGAATATATTTATACATCAATAGTCTTATATATCCTATCAGCTCTTTGGTTAATAAAAGCACAGCTTCGCTCTATGCTCGACGCTTCGAAGTAAAAATAAAGCCGCGGGCATCACATTACGCTCTATGCTTTGATAAAACAAATCAACATTTAATGTGTAGGTTCATCCTCAACGTTTGCCTTCAAGTTTACTATTATACCACATCCTTTTTTATTTTATATCAACTTCTAATTTATATATTATACTTTTTAATTGTTAATGAATATATTTATACATCAATAGTCTTATATATCCTATCAGCTCTTTGGTTAATAAAAGCACCGCTTCGCTCTACGCCCGACGCTTTGAAGTAAAAATAAAGCTGCGGGCATCGCACTACGCTCTATGCTTTGATAAAACAAATCAACAAGGTATTAGATTTGCTTAAGCTTGTGCACCTTTGAGAGATTTATTTTGAATGCAAAGAAAAGTTCATGGATATGTGCACTTGAAATAAATTTCATTTTAAAAAATGTTCTTGGAAGTGGAAACTAAAAAAAAGAAAAAGAGAGAAAATTTAAATCAAATGACTGTAAATTCCTAACCTTTTCATAAACTGTTGAAATGTTATTTCAATTTTTTTCTTAAACTTTTGTAAAATCCCAACAATTGTTAAATATTTCCTTCTAACGTGTTACCCCACAGGTTCTTAACGCAGGACACATGGTTCCCATGGATCAGCCCAATGCATCACTGGAGATGCTGAAAAGATGGATGAATGGAAACCTGGTTGATGCTACTTCAGAACCTCAAGGCCTGGCTTCTGATATGTAAGACAATAAAAAACCTTCCATGTTTCTATCATACAATTTATACATGTTTTGTTTAATACTTAGCTGTTGGCAATGGTTATAATCCATTTTGATTGAATTGTAATGTGGTGAACAAGGCCATGTTTATATTTTCAGCGGTATAATACATTTTTGTATAACACTAACCACATATCGCCTTGTCAATTCTGTATCTGTCGTTACTTGATGTAATGTTATTCAACTAATGTTACAAAAATGGAGAAATTATTCAGTCTGGATACTGCACGTAGGGTTACCTGCGGTAGCAAATAAAAAACGACACCTGGAGTTATTGACCCACCATTAAAAAAATAAGAGAAAAATTATTTTTACAGTGCGACCTGGCTCGAGCCCTGCCCAATATCAAAAAAACGTCTATTTGTCACCTTTCGATCCCGCCAAATTGTAAATTTTGTCTTCTTAGATCTCGCCAAACTGGAGAAAAGAATTTTCAGCTTTAATTCCTCTTAGAGTTTAGGAATTATTTTCTTTTTTCATTTGCATTCGTATTCAGAATCGTGTTCGACAGCTAGGGTTCTTCCGATGGATTTCTCTCTCGACCAAAAAATGCTGATGGAATTGCAAAATGATTGTGAGAATGATGCCAATGAGCTAAGCTGATTAGCTGAGGCACGATGTGTTCCACAGATGAACTTATTTCTTTCTATTCACTGGTGCTATTAATGACGTCATAATGATTGGAATATTCAAGAGCTATTCTGGTTTGATTACTATATGATTTGATTGCAACATTACTCTTATGTTGGAGGGTGGACGTGATGTTAGTTAGGTATTATCTTGGTGTTTAGGTTTGAAGGTTTAGAACTATAATACAACCATCATAACAACAAAGTAACATTAGAATGAAAAAATCACTTATATCATCTTACTATTACCATAATAACACCATAATTATACCAAAATAACACAGTTGTTTTGAATTGTACATTTGTGTTCTTATAATACCATAATACAACCATAATGTATTCCATATGTTTTGGTATTATCATGGTGTTATGTTACCATTGTAATTAGTGTTATTTTGGTGTTATTTCCGTGTTATTATGGTTATATTATGATATTATTGTTGTATTATTGGATTTGAACTACTTTTGTGTTATATTATTTTTGTATTATATTATTTTTTGTATTATTATGGTGGTATTATGTTATTATTTCTGTATCCTTTTATACTAGTCTTATTAGATTTATTAATTGATTTTGTTTAGATGTTATTTTGGTCATTCTAATGGTGATATATTGAAATTTGCAGTTCCCCAAGCCTGTAACTGTGTGCATTGCTCCAATTGCGAAAAACTTGCTTCACACAGTGGTTTATAATGAGGAAGAAACCTATGAACAATATTGTGCATATGCACACCAAATTGGATTTACTGTGCGAAAGGATCACGTTGGTTTTTGATCGAATTCAAAAATGATTAAGACAAAGGATTTCATTTGGGTAAGGCTGGTTTCAAGAAAGAGTTGAATAACAATTTGACGGTGAAGTACAGAAGAGGGGACACAAGGACTGGTTGTCCAACCATGATCCAATATGTTGTCGATGTCGAAGGTAACTGGTCGGTTAAGAAATTTATAGAAAGTCATAACCATCCTTTGGCGGCGGACGGTGGCAAACATCTATTGCGTTCCAATAGAAAGATGAGTGATATCAATGCATAAGTGCTTAGATCGATGACACAATCAGAGATTAAAACAAGCAATGCATTTAATTTTCTAGCTACATAATTTGGGAGTGTGGAAAATCTTGATTGCACGAAGAGATGTGCTTATAATTTCATATAAAGAGAGAGAAAAAGTAAAATTGAACATGGGGACACTAATTCTCTTCTACGATTATTCACTGAGAGGCAAGCTGAGGATACGATGTTTTCATGGGATGTCCAGATTGATAAGTCCGGTAGTTTGTTGAATTTCTTTTGGAGTGATGGGATATCCAGACTCGATTACGATTGCCTTGGGGATGTCATTATATTTGATATAAGTTATAGACTTAATAAATACAATTTATGTTTTGTTCCTATTGTCGATGTGAACCACCACTGACAGAATGTTCTATTTGGAGTTGTCTTTTTGCCAGATGAAACAGTTGACTCATTCAAGTGGCCATTCAAGTCATTTATCCGAATAATGGATAACAAGCATCCAAGATCAATATTCACTGACCAAGATCAAGCAATGACCAGAGCCATTGAAGAGTGTTTTCCGCACACCAGATATAGATTATGCCAATGCCATATTTATCTTCAAAAGTCTATTGTGGTGTGAGCACCAAGAGAGTCAATGAGCTTTTTTTATAAATGCATGAATAGATGGAACTCCGAGGAGGAGTTTGAAGAAACCTGACGTACAATGATTGAGCTAGGAAATCTACATAACAATGTTGGTTGAATAGTTTGTACAATATCAGACATAAGTGGTCAACGACCTTCAATAAGGAAATATTTGAGATGAGAATCTAATCAATGCAAAGAAGTGAGTCCACGAATAACATCTGTCATGGTGCCTCCAAGCCAACAAGCACCCTCACTGTAAGTTTCTTGGGTCTTGAAAATGTCATGAAATCTTAGCGAATGAATGAGAAGGATGAAGATTTTAAATGTGAACAGTCTGCAATTGTTCCCGCTGTAAAAAGTAGTCTGGTGTTGAGGCAAGGTGTTTTAGTTTATACGAGGAAGTTATATTCAATATTTGAAGCAAAGTTGCTACATAGTTTGTGTGGACTTGCTGTTGAGTGCTCATCCTCGATGATTCTGAATTTTACATCAGAAACTTAAATAGTGAACTTACATACAGACCCTGGATTGTGAAAGTCGACAAAAGTAACTTTGAAATTACATGCAATTTCAAAAAATTTGAAATGATGGGTTTATTATGTGCTTACACTCTAAGGGTGCTTAGTCATGAGAATATAACAAAGATTTCTGATAAATATATATTATTACGGTGGTATGTTAATGTAAAGAGGAATATATATAACTATGAGTATAAACATCTGTAGGATTCACAAACGCGGTGGTATGTTAATGTAAAGAGGAATATATATAACAACTATGAGTATAAACATCTGTAGGATTCACAAACGTCTCCAATTTGTTCAAGTGGACTCATATATCGAACACACGTTCATAAATTTGCATACCAGATCAGTATATTATTACTGAGAAAAATGTCCTAGAGACATTAAAGAAACTAACAATCAAATCAGAGACCATATTAAATCGGAGAGACCACCGAGAAATGCCAAAGTCAAAGAAGAAAAAACCACCGAATATACAACACAATTTGAACGACCCAACGAAAATGCGGCCAAAAGGATTATCTAATGCAAGGTTAAAAGGATATTTGGAGAAGAACAGGAGAGTAAAAAGTAAGCATTACCAGTAGTATTAATAAGTCTATTTTCATTACCAATAGTATCAAGAAACCTAACATGAAACATTGTATTATAGGAAGGACAAAGATGTTGGTTGAAGTCAAGATACGTTTCATCCATCCGACCCAAACCTGTTTGCAATGTCGGATTGATGTAGTCAGGTACATAACTTAAAATTTGAAACACTTTGTAATTTGTGAACTAATTTTAATTATACTTATTTACTTACATTCATTTTTGATTACCTAAAATCAGCAGGAATTGCATGCATCACTGCCCACAGACACATATACGAGCTTATTGATGAACCTAAATTATATGTGAAACACCAAGAAACTGCAACAGAAACTGCAATAAGTTGTTAATGTGGTATTAATGTAGTTTTTGCAGTGTTAAATCAATCTGTTGTTTGTTATTGTGGAATTAATGTAGTTTCTGCAATGTTAATATTGTTTGATATTTTGCCAGTTTATTATAGCATGCGGTTAATATTATCAACATCTTTAAGCTGTTTTTATACATTTCATTACAAAAATATGTCAAATAAACAGAAATAAAATCTCAATATTATGATAATATCAATGCAAATACGAGTGGTATAAGCTAGTTGTGATTATATATTTTGCGAGTTTTTTTAGACTGCAATGAATCACCTGCCTTGAATATTACCAAAATTTTACAAAAATATTACCATAATACAATCATGATATAACAGTGTTCGATAAGGAATATATCCTGGTTTGATTGGAGTTTTCCTTTATTGTATTTTTCGCTCTGCGGTCGTATCTTGATTGTTTTGAGGATATATTTATAAATATAAAATAGTAAAACCTTATGATTTTTAAAATATTCACTAAATACGCCTGAAATAAGCTAGGATTGATTAAAATATTTTACGAGTTTTTTAGCGTTGAATATTACCAAAGTATTACCATAACACAACCAGGATATAACAACGCTCGATAAGGAATATATCCTGGTTTGATTGTAATATTTTTTTACTATATTCTCCACTCCGCGGTCGTGTCTTGGTTGTTTCGAGAATATATTTATAATATTAAGCTGTTTTTATATATTTCATCATAAAATGTGTGAAATAAAAAACAATAAAACCTTATAATTATTATAATATTGTCTAAATATGTCTGGAATAAACTAGGATTGATTAAAATAGCTTACGAGTTTTTTATAGTCTGCGTTGAATAATACCAAAATATTACCATAATACAACCACGATATAACAAAACTCGCTAAAGAATAATTCTAGTTTGATTAGAATATTCCTTTACTGTATTCTTCACTCCGCGGTCCCACTCTGCGATCGTATCTTGGTTGTTATGAGGATATATTTATAATATTAAGCTGTTTTTATATATTTCATCATAAAATGTGTGAAATAAAAAATAATAAAATCTTATAATTTTTATAATATTATCTAAATACGCTTAAAATAAATTAGGATTGATTAAAATATTTTACTAGTTTTTTATAACTAACGTTGAATAGCCTGCGTTGAATATTATCAAAATATTTTAATATAATACAACCACGATATAGCAGCGCTCGCTAAGGAATATATCCTGGTTTGATTAGAATATTTCTTATTTTATTTTCCACTCTGCGGTCATATCTTGGTTGTTCTAAGGATATATTTATAATATTAAGCTGTTTTTATATATTTCATCATAAAATATGTAAAAAATAATAAAATCTTATAATTATTATAATATTTTCTAAATACGTCTGGAA